AAAATCCCTAGCTCTAAGAGAGATGCAAATCAAAACAACTATGAGATATCATCTCACCTCAGTAAGATTAGCAAACTTTAACAGAACAGCAAGCAACAAATGCTGGTGAGGTTGTGGAGAAACTGGAACCCTTATTCACTATTGGTGTGAGTGTAAAATGGTACAACCACTGTGGAAAGTGGTGTGGCGCTTTGTCAAAAAGTTGCATATAGAGATACCATTTGACCCAGCATTCCAATACTGGGAATATACCCTAAAGAGACCATAACCGACATCCAAGCAGATATATGCGCACCCATGTTTATGGCGGCTTTGTTCACAATAGCAAGGAATTGGAAACAACCCAGGTGCCCATCAACAAACGAATGGATAGAGAAGCTGTGGTATAATGGAATAGTACACTGCATTGAAAAACAAGGAACTCATGCAGTATTATTCAAAATGCGTGAGCCTGGAGGACATTATGCTGAGTGAAGTATCTCAGTCACAAAAGGACAAATACTGCATGGTGCCACTGTTGTAGAATGGGACTGACATCAGGGTTGAGGTAGGACTGAAAAAAACTGGATAAATTATGTATACTGCATTGAAACAGAGAGAACAATTTAAAAGCGCTATATGATAGGGTATTATGGTTATCACAAGAGTCCAGAATTAAGGTTGCATACTGGAGTGGACTTGGAGCAATGGGAGGGGTGCAGGGGGATTGTATACCAAAGAAGGAATTTTTCTTTCGCTTTTCAAAGAGATGAGCGAACTGGGGAGGGGGGAGGGGGGAGGGCTGTCAAGGGAGAAAAGTGCAACAATGAATGAATGAAAATCTAAAATCTCTGTAAATATTCATTAAAATTAATAAAATAAAAAAAGAAACCATAAGGGCCACCCAAGCAGATATATGTACACCCATGTTTATTGTGCCTTTGTTTACAAAGCAAGGAGTTGGAAACAACCCAAGTGCCCATCAATAAATGAATGGATAGAGAAGCTGTGATATACTCACACAATGGAACACTATGCTGCATTGAAAAACAAGAAACTCATGAAATATTTTACAAAATGGGTGACCCTGGAGGACATTTTGCTGAGTGAAATATCTCAGTCATAAAGGGACAAATACTGCTCAGGACCACTGTTATAAAACAGGACTGACATCGGGGTTGGGGGGAGACTGAGAAAGAGAGGATAAATAATGTATACTGCATTGAAACAGATGAGGCAGAGAACTGTTTTAAAGGGATATATGATTAGGTATTATTGTCATGACAGGAGTCCAGAGTGAAGGCTGCACAGTGGAGTGGACTTGGGGTGAGGGAATGTAAAACAATAAAAGCATTTTTCTTTTCTTTTTCAAAGAGAAGAGTGAATTTTGGGGGAAGAGGGTAGACAGGGAGAAAAGTGCAACAATGAATGAATGGAAACCCTAAGTCTCTCTAAACTTTCATTAAAATTAATAATTAAAAAAAGAAAAAAACAGATGGTAAAAGTATTGCTGACACTGAAGAAGGATGCTAACCAGGGGCAACTTTGGAATAAAACATGCAACGTAAAAAGGAATACGTCCTCCTACAAGCAGGAGATAATAAAATAGATGAATGGGACCTTCTAAGAATCAAATCGCTGTGCACATCAAACAACTTCCCCAACAGGGTAAGAATGAAAGCCACAGAAAGGAAAACAATATTTGGCAATGACTTAAGTGGTAAGGGACTCATAGCTAAAATTTATAGAATACTACAGCACCTCAATAAGAAAAAAGGTAAACAGTCAAATCGCAATATGGGCACAAAATATGGATAGAGACTTCACCGAAGAAGACATTCAGATGGCAAACAAACACATGAAGAAATGTTCAAAATCC